GCACGACACTCTCCTGTGGCACCACCGCCTTGGTCACCCCTCCCTGCCTCGCCTTCGTAGCATGCACTCTCGCTCCCTGGTTTCTGGTCTTCCCAAGTCTCTGCCTGCCCTACCTCCCTCGCCTGCGCCGCCCTGCATTCCTTGCGTCGAGGGGCGGCAGCGCGCCGCTCCTCACTCCTCCTCATTCCCTCCCACAGAGGCTCCTCTGCAGACTCTCCACCTGGACGTGTGGGGCCCAGCCCGCGTCCGTGGACAGGGCCACGAGCTGTACTTCCTGCTGGTCGTCGACGACTACACGCGTTACACCACGGTCTTCCCCTTGCGCAGCAAGGGGGACGTCCCTGATGTTTTGATCCCTTGGATCCGCGCTGTTCGTCTCCAGCTCCGCGAGCGGTTCCAGCGGGACTTTCCTGTCCTGCGTCTGCACTTTGACAAGGCGGTGAGTTCACCTCCGACCTCTTGGCAGCCTACTGTGCGGAGCACGGCATCACCCAGTCGTTCACGCTTCCGGCCTCTCCGCAGCATAATGGGGTTGCTGAGCGCCGCATTGGCTTAGTCATGGAGGTCGCTCGTACCTCCATGATCCATGCGGCTGCCCCCCATTTTCTGTGGCCGTTTGCGGTCCGGTACGCCGCGCATCAGCTCAACCTCTGGCCTCGTGTCTCCTTGCCGGAGACCTCGCCCACACTGCTGTGGACGGGGAAGGTGGGCGATGCGTCGCGTTTCCGGGTCTGGGGTGCTCGTGCCTTTGTCCGCGATACCACTGCAGACAAGCTCTCCGCCCGCGCTGTCCCCTGTGTCTTCCTTGGCTTTGTCCCTGACGCGCCTGGTTGGCAGTTTTACCACCCTACCACGCGCCGTGTCTTTGCGTCTCAGGACGTCACGTTCGACGAGTCGGTTCCCTTTTACTGTCTCTTCCCCTACCGCACTGCCCCGCTCCCCCCCCCGCCGCTCTTCCTCGCTCGAGGTGCTCCCCAGGTAGACCCCCTCCCCGCTCCCGGTCCTGCTCCTTCAGGTGTGTCTCAGGTAGACCCTCCTCCCTTGACTGCGCCGGTTGAGGTCACTGGTGACTCAGGTCCTGCTCGGGGTGCTACTTCTGGGGGTGCTGAGCCTGGGGGTGCTGAGCCTGGGGGTACTGAGCCTGGGGGTGCGGAGCTTGAGGGTGTGGGGCCTGGAGGTGCTGAGCTTGGCAGTACTGAGTCTGGAGGTGCTGCACCTGGGGTTGCTGAGGCGTCTGGTGATCTGTCTCCCTGGAGCGGCCATCTCCGTAGTCGCTCCGCTGGTGTCTCGCCGCTGCCCTCTCGTCGTCCACTCCCCCTCTCCTCCCTGCAGCTGGTTGAGTGGTACCTTGGCCGTCAGGGCCGCGCTGCTGGAGGTTCTGGAGCTGTTGAGGGTACTGACACTGGGGGTTCTGGAGCTGCTGAGGGTGCTGGCGCCGGAGGTTCTGGAGCTGCTCGAGGGCCTGGTCCTGGTAGCGCTGGAGCTGGAGGTTCTGGAGCTCCTGAGGGTGCTGGCGCTGGAGGTTCTGGAGCTGCTGGAGGTACTGGTGCTGAGGGTGCGGGCGCAGGAGGTTCTGGAGCAGTTTGGAGTGCTGGTGCTGAGGGTTCTGAGTCTGCTGTTGCGCGGTCTCCTTGGAGTAGCCGCCTTCGTCCACGTGTGCCTCTCACCCCGCAGCAGCTGCACGACTGGTACGGTCGCCGTCAGGGTCGCGCTGCTGGAGCCCGGAGCTCTGCTGCTGGAGGTACTTCTGCTGACGTCCCTGGAGCTAGGAGTGGTGCTGGTACTTTGTCTACTGGAGGTGCTGGAGTCGCTGGTCCCGGAGGTGCTCGTACTGGAGGTACTGGAGCTGCTGGGGCTGGGGGTGCTGCGTCTGGAGGTGCTGCTGCTGGAGACACCGAGGCTGGAGACCCTGGGACTGGAGGTGCTGGTTCTGGGGGTGCTGCTGCTGGAGACATTGAGGCTGGAGACCCTGGGACTGGAGGTGCTGGTTCTGGGGGTGCTGCTGCTGGAGGCACTGAGGTTGGAGACCCTGGGCCGGGAGGTGTCGGTTCTGGGGCTGGAGCTTCTGGAGCTGCTGGAGGTGCTGGAGCTGCTGAAGGTACTTGAGCTGCTGGAGCTGCCGGTACTGGTGCAGCTTCGCCGACAAAACTGTTCTTCGCTCCGCCGTCTTCGTCTCTGCCGCCGCCTGACTCTGTTTTTCGTCAGGTTCTTACTCTCCCGTCGTCTACTGGTCTTCCGTTACAGCCTGGCTCACCGCTGCCTGCTCCTTCTCCTTACACTGAGCAGACAGGTAGTCTTGCTGAGCGTCGTGAGCCTGCGTCACGTCCTGTCTCGCCTGTTTGTCCTAGTCGTACCGGTCGTCGTGTTCCTCGTCCGCGTCAGCCGGCTGTCCCCGGCACACGCCTTGTAGCCCTGCGTCGGTCCCCTACCCTGGAGCGTACTCCTCTTCCGTCTCCCCCTGCGTCCTCTTTGCCTGACGTCGCGGACCCTGAGTCTGACCGGTTTCGTGCTGAGCACCCTACTGTCACGCGTCTGCTAGCCACTGTTGTCACTGACCCGTCGTTTGAGTCTGCTGCTGCGTCTGCCCTGGTCGCTGAACTTGTTGACTTTGCTGCTGCCTGTCGTCTAGACTACACTGCTAGTCTTGTTGCTGAGTCTGAGTCTGTCTGTCCTCCGTCCGTCGGGGGTGAGTGTGCCCTTGGCACGGACGTCCTTGAGGACAGGCACGAGGGCCTTGAGTGTCTTGCAGCCGCTGCGCCTCATCTCGTGGCCATGCTGCTTGCCCCTGAGGGAGACCCGGATGCTATAGACATCCCCACACCATGCTCTTACGCTGAGGCGATCGCGGGTCCCTACTCCTCTCAGTGGCAGGCAGCCATGGACGCAGAGATGGCATCCTGGAAGTCCACAGGCACTTGCGTCGATGAGGTTCCCCCTCCCGGGGCAAACATCGTCGATGGCATGTGGATTTTCAGGGTGAAGCGGCCGCCAGGTTCTCCGCCTATCTTCAAGGCGCGTTACGTTGCTCGAGGCTTCAGTCAGCGAGAGGGAGTTGACTTCTTCCAGACCTTCTCCCCTACCCCGAAGATGACTACTCTTCGGGTGCTGCTGCACGTTGCCGCTCAGCGTGACTACGAGCTTCACTCCCTTGACTTCAGCACAGCTTTCCTACAGGGCAGCCTGCACGAGGAGATCTGGCTGCGCCGCCCAGTGGAGCCTCCGCCGGCCAGTCTACGGTCTCCGCCAGGCACCCCGTGAGTGGCACGACACACTGAGGACTACCCTTGCGGCTCTTGGGTTTGCGCCTTCGACTGCTGACCCTTCACTGTTTCTACGCACCGACACTTCGCTGCCGCCGTTCTATATCCTCGTGTACGTCGACGACTTGGTCTTTGCTACTGCTGACACTGAGGCCCTCGCCCTGGTGAAGTCCGAGTTGTAGAAGAGACACACGTGCACAGATCTGGGTGAGTTGCGCAGCTACCTTGGCTTGCAGATCACCCGGGACCGAGCACGCCGCACCATCACACTGACTCAGTCACACATGGTGCAGCAGGTCCTTTAGCGCTTCGGCTTCACCTGGTCCTCAGCACAGGCCACTCCTCTGGCTATAGGTCACTCGCTCTCAGCTCTGCCTTCGGATGAGTCCGTAGAGCCGAGTGGTCCTTACCCAGAGCTAGTGGGCTGCCTCATGTACCTGATGACTTGCACTCGTCCTGACCTTGCGTACCCTCTTGGCCTTCTGACTCGCTACGTGGCTCCTGGTCGGCACCGAAAGGTGCACTGGGATGCTGCGAAGAGGGTACTGCGCTACTTGTGCAGTACATCGGGCATGGGACTCGTGCTTGGAGGACGGCGAGAGGTGGTCCTCACTGGGCACTCAGACGCTTCTTGGGTTGACGACCAGGCTACGCAACGGTCGTCACAGGGTTACACTTTCAGCCTTGGCTCTGGTTCTGTTTCTTGGCGTTCTACTCGCTCGTCTTCTGTTCTCAGCTCCGGTTGTGAGGCTGAGATCTACGCCACCGCCATGGCTGCTCAGGAGTTACGCTGGCTCACCTACCTGCTGACCGACCTGGGAGATCGGCCTCGTTCTCCTCCAGTGCTGTACGTCGACAACAAGGCTGCCATTGCCTTGAGTGAGGAGCACAGACTGGAGCACAGAACGAAGCACATCGCTCTGCGGTACTTTCTGGCTCGAGAGTTGCAGCAGCGTGGTCAGCTTCGTCTTGCACACGTGGCCACTCAGGCCAACACTGCTGATATATTCACCTAGGCACTTCCGTCTGGTGATCATCAGCGCTTTTGTACTTTGTTAGGCCTTGTGCCTACGTTTCCACACTTGCTGTAGTCTTTTGTGTGTACTGTGCTCTACATTTATACTTACATGCTTGCTCTTGCTAGGTATTGATCTCTGTACTGCTCTTATATATATCTCTGCATGTGGACTGGCATTGCAGCCCTTTGCTTGTGCTCAGAATGTGTGGTGACGTTGAGATCCACCCTGAGCTTGCTTTGCGTCTCTTGACTGGTCGTGTGACCCCTTGTTCTCCCCCACTTTGCCTATGGGGGTGTGTCAAACATTTGTGCTGCATATTGTCTAAGCTGTAATGGGGTAGCCCATATGGGGTACAACCCAATTAGGGTTTACTACTTGTACTCCTACATGGATGCTGTTAGTTCATCATTCCTGCTGCTAGATTCTAACAGTTCGCCTTGGGAATCAGCATATTTCAATCCAGAATGCACATTTTTGCCCGCAACAGAGCAGACGCTACACAGTTCATTCACACTACAGCTAAACTACAGCTAAACTCTGCAAGTTTGATTGCATTTTTTACAATCACCGAGGCCTTCACATGCACATTCCGCATCTTGCACTCCTAGCATTCTTTTTTTGTCTCGCTTCTACCCTGTCTCCTTGCCAAGGGAGAGTGGCTCGTGAAAGCTCGCTGTATTTTGAAATGCCTTAAAAGCCAGCAGTCAGTTCAAGCCGCCGGTCATTTCTTCTTGAAGGAGCGCAGCTCGAGAGAACCCACCAACGCCGGCTGCTGCTGCACCGCCGACGTCTGCCCACCGCCCACCTGCTGCTCTCCCACCAGCTGTGCTACCCCTGCCAGCTGTTCATCGCCCACAGCTGGCTGCACCACGCCTGACGTCTGCCCATCGTCCACCACCGGCCGTCTTAAAACCGGCTCAAACGGCTCTACTGCCAGGTGTGCTACCCCTGTAGGCTGCTTTACCGCTGCCGTAGGTTTCTCGAAAACCTCGGTCACGAAAGTGGTAAGGGGTGGGTTGATGCGAATGCGCCCTTTGTTTGCTGCTGGGGCGACGGCTTGCAGAGTGATGCTCCACTTGGTGCCGGCGACCACCTGGCTCTTGGCACTCAGAACCGAGATGAACCTGAGCCGCGTGTGCTGGTGCGGTGCGATGGGGTGGGGTGGGGTGGGGTGGGGTGGGGTGCAATGGGGAGGGGTCGTTAAGGAAGGGAAGAGGCTAGTGATGCTCCACTTGGTGCCGGCAACCACCTGGCACTTTGCACTCACGACCGAGATGAACCTGAGGCGTGTGTTCTGGTGTGGTGGGTTGGGGCGGAGTGAGGTGGGGTGGAGTGAAGTGGGGTGGGGTGCGGTGGGTAAGGAAGAGAAGCTCTTGAGGCTTGTCAAGGGCCATTGTGACACGGCAACTACCTGGCCCAGCGCAGCCTTCAGTGAGACGAACCTGAGGTTCTTGTTCTGGCGGGGTGAAGAGGGGTGGAAGTGGGGAGGGGAGGGGAGGGAGGGGAGGGAAGTACTAAGGGCTGACTTTAAAGTAAGTGAGGGTTTGTTTAACAGCAGCCATGCTGAGATACTGTAGCATAAGGCGAGAGGAACCCGAGGGTCGTGTTCTGGTGCTGTGGGGTGGGGGGTGAAGAAGGGACAAGGAAGTTCTCGAGGCTTGTGATGTGATGGGCCATTGGCGTTGTAACAAGGCAATTTTCGACCGAGAGGGTATACAGCTCGGGATATGGCGAGGTGAGGTGGGGTGAGGTTGGGTGAGGTGGGGTGGGGTGGGGAGGGAACGAAGGGGAGAACCCAAGGCTTGCGCCGGGCCATTGATGTTGTAACATGGTGAGATTTGACGAATGGGATTTTCAGCCCGGGATCTGGCGGGGTGGGGTGAGGAGGGGATGGGAGGAGAGAATTTCTGAGGCATCTCAACAGACAGTGGTCACTGAATGCTCTGGTACTGAAACGTCTCCAACACAGGTGGTGCGATGGGCACTAGGCACGTCTTTCCTTGTTGTGCGCGTCGTCTTTCCTTATCCGTTGCCGAGCCAACATCGTTCAGGTGACTTTTGAGGCGCCTCAAAAGTCAACTCCTTATTCGTGGCCACGCCATGTCATTCAGGTGTATTTCGAGCCGACTCAAAAGGCTGCCTTTGAGTCAACTCAAAAGCCAACTCCTTTATTGTCACCACGACATGTCTTTCAGGTGAACTTCAAGGCGACTCGAAGGATCGCTTCTAATTCTGACTTAAAAGCCAACTCATGTATCCTTCGCCAAATCTTTCTGATGTTTTCCAACCCGACTCAAGGAGCTGTTTTCTCGGTCACTTGCAATAATGAAAGCAGTCAAGGCGGAAAATGCATGAATGCAATTAAGGGCGAAAAACGCTTCTCTAGGTACCCGCTTCTTGTTGTACGCGTCGACGGCGAATCTGGCCAAACACAAGTGATTTACTACGCACCTCAAAACACTGAATAGCACTGAGCCTTCTCCAGGTAGGTACCTGTTTCTTGTTGTACGTGTCGACGGCGAAGCTGGCCAAAACCGCCACGTGCTGATCCTTCTTTTGAGACGTGTCAAAACAAATTTAATATCACGTAACCCTTCTCTAGGTACCTACTTCCAGATTGGTTTCTCTAGGTACCTGCTTCTTGTTGTACGCGTCGACGGCGAAGCTGGCCAGATCCGCCACGTGCTGATCGTTTGCCGCGTCTTTCACGGTAGACCAGCCGCCAGTACGCGGAGTTGCCGCTGCTGCCGACGGAATCGCTGAGAGGAGAGAAACGACGGCGACGACTGCAGCGACGGCAAACATAGCGTGATTCACGTGACTGGGCATGCGCTGACCCATGATTGGTCGTTCGCGATATCGGGCTAGGGGGCTAGGAGGCTATCAGGGAAGCAAAGAAGCAAGCTACCACTCTCGTACACTGTTATGGCTCAATCTTTACAGCCGATAACTGTTTGTCAAATATACTGCATAAGATCTGCCAGCTAGCCGTATGACAAGGTGGTTCTCGAGGTGGTCCTCGATTGACAAACGGATTTATCGGTTGGAGCACGCCCGGAAGCCCCGGCGGTTCGCTGGCGCCATGATAATTTTGATTTGAGTAGAGAAAGCGCATAGATACGAGTGCTTCGCTGATGCGTGAAACCCGCTCGGCCGCTCACAAACGAGCTTGCGAACGCGCAAAGCGGCAACTGATTGGCTACTGCGCAGGAGTGCATCCTCGCTAATGCCATAATGCAAATATTTCGATTGATGTGAACGCGCAACGCGGCAGATGATAGGCTGCATGAGGCATAATCCGAGTCTACTTTGGCCGCGAACGCGCAAAACAGCAGATGATAGGCTACTGTGTGCGCCATAAATCTAGCTGGTATTTCTTGCTGTGTGAACCCGCAAAGCACGGCGGCTGGTGAGGGTGATTTGGGAGGTCGTTACGACTGGTGGGGTGGTGGTGGGTGGGAGCTGTTGAGCAGAGGTCGGTCTGGAGCTCAAGGCGGGGTCAGCGCGTTCCTTCATGGTTCATTTACAATTCATACCGAGGGATTACTCTCGTTGCATCACGGTGCAAAACGGTGAATAATGGAAACCGCTTTGAACCGTCTTGTAATCGTTTTGCGCCACGACGGATGACAGGTACAATAGTGATTCCTCAACGCGCTGACCCCCTAAACACGTAGCCTAGTGGTTTGGTAATGATTCAAGCACCAATAATTTCCAAAACTGTTTGACTGAACCAGCAAAGCGGGGCTGCCGTGAGCGGAGCCTGCCACGGGAGCTTGCTGGAGCAATGCCGCACCACTCTATAAGCTAATTCCTTAGCATCTAATTAGTATTTGCTCAAATTCAAGAAACATGGTACAGATGGAGTAAAATACAGGAGCTTTTACAGTTCTCGAGTCCTCCAGTCAGAGATCCAGCAGCTTTACTGCTTTCAGCTGACATATGGCAACTAGCAAGAAAACTGAATGACTCCAGTGTCCATAAGGTCCCACTCATTCAGCTGAGTTGGTCCAAAAACCTCCCAATGCCTTGTCAATTTATTGATACCATAATGCAGGGTCAGCAGCTGGCAGCCACGATGTTCCAACACATAGCACAAGCAGCGATTTCCCAGAGTGCCAGACTCACGATGCGCCAAAATGGCTCACTTAGTCGCTCGAAGAATCTTCCACGTTCACCAGGGTGGGCAGATGCACATCAATTTCGTAACTTGCGTTTATGTGAACAGCAAAGCTGCTTATGCAAAGCCGATCTTCTCCAGTGCTCCTGCCAGAGCGCTTACTTTGTCGCTCGGCGAATCCTCCACATTTACTAGATTGGGCAGATGCACGTCACTGCGCGGCACAAACTCATGCAGCAGCTTCCTCCTGTACTCAGCAAATGGATCTAACCCTGCTGCTGCTGCTGCTGCTCCTTGGTGTTGTGCCACATCAGCAGGGGGCGGCTCCAGAATGAGCGTGTGGTGCATGCCTGACAGCAGCTGCGCGTAGTCCCCGTCAGCGCCAGATGGACTGCCGACGAAGACTGCCAGGTCAGCAGGCTCCAATCCCCAGCGCACACATAGGTACCTGGTAGAGAGACGGACAGAGAGGGCGTTGGTGGGACAAAGAGCGACAGAGTGCCAGAAGAAAAACTTTTGTGAAGGAGGTTAAACCCCAAAACAGATGTGAATGAAGGATAGTCTGAAATTTTCCCCAACAAGCAGAGTGCAAAATGCCCAGTTCACAATGTGCAATGCATAGCGCACACTGCTGAGTGCAAACAATACATTACCTGAGGGCCTGTGAGCGAGAGGCGTGGAGAGGCAGGATGTGAAGACACGTGGCGGCACGGCAGTAGCCCACGTGGCACCTCAAGCCACGTAGGCGCAGGCGACGCCGCAAGTCAGCTGCTGTGGGCATCTGGGGGAGGCAGAGAGGCAGAAAGGAGGAGCGCAGAGAAAGGAAGTCATTTAGCTTTGAGACGTCTCAAAAGACAGACGCAATTCAGCTGCTGTGGGCATCAGGGGGCATCCCAAGGAGGGGGGAGAGGTGGGATGTGGGAAGGGGGATGGGGGTTTTGAAGGAAAGTAGGTAGGAGGAGAGAAGTGAAAGCAGAGCCATGCCTTGATTCACACGTCAGCGTCATGCCATGCCATGCCATGCTTCACACGTGACAAGCCAGAGACCTTTTACAAATCTCATCTTCCACACACACTTACTGCATCAAATCAGATTTCTCTGTGCATCGCAGCATAACCGAGCGGAATACAGCGAGCTGACTTTTGAGTCAACTCAAAAGTCCAATCTCACCTCCACACACACCCGCTGCATCAAATCGGATTCCTCTGTGCATCGCAGCATAACCGAGTGGAATACAGCAAAAGCGCTATGCTCTAGGTCAAGCTGTCCGTACCTGGGCAACATCCAGCACTCGGTAAGCCAGCCGCCGTGATGTGGTTCGCATCTCATCCTCCACACACACGCGCTGCACCGCCAGCAGCTGCTGCTGCTGCAGCAGCAACCCGCTCCCCCTCGTCCCCCTCGATCCCGCCCCTGCACCCCCGATCCTACTCCCAGTCACGCTCTTGCTCCCTGGGATGCCTGTGCGGGTGGAAGCAGCTGCAGGCTCAGAGGCAATTGCAGTCAGCCCGTCCGAGAAGGAGATTGAGCGGACATACTCCTCGTGAGTAGCAGCCCCGTTACCAGCAGCAGCAGCTGCAGCAGAACCATTCACAGCAAAAGGTGCATCAGGGACAGAAGCAGAGAGAGCAGTGGCAGGAGGAGGGAAGACACCCCCAGAGCCTGCTGCAGGAGTGGTGGCAGCGCTGGCAGCCCCACCCGTTGCTGTACCCTTTATAGCATGCGCCAGGATTCGTCCCATGGACCTGCGCACACCGTCGGCGCTCCACCGGTATTCAATATGTGCGAAATAGTCCGGATCGGGAAGCAACTGCCAGCCTTCCCGGTCCTCCAAAGGAGCCATGGCTGATACCAGACCTGCTGCCATGCCTGCACCCGCCCCTGCTCCTGCTCCTGTTCCTCCAGCTGCTGCAAGGTCCGATGCGGTGGAACACGGTACAGAGTAGTACACCTCGCTCCCTCCTCCAGCAATCAGCGCGTCAAGCTGCCTCAGCCCCACTCCTGCAGCTGTCAGCATAGCCACCGTCTCTCTGGCTGTCAGTGCCGTCGCCAGCACCACACCAATCTCCCCACCCGGCCCCATACCCCATACAACGCGCTCCCTTAACGTCCCTGTGTTGTGCCGGTACGCCACCTCCAGGGCGGCGCAGAGCGAGTCCAGAACAGACGAACCTGGCCGCCCAACAGGATCGTATTCGTCCACTGCGACCACAATCAGCCGCCGCCGCCTTCGCAGCCTGAGCCCCTCAAACGCCGCTGCTGCCGCTGCTCCTGCTGCTGTCCCTTTCTCCCCAGCCCCGGCTCCAACCCCTGCTCCTCCTCCTCCGTCCTCCCCTTCCTCCTGCATCCCCTGCAGCCGCCCCGACCCGCCCACGCCTTCCCGGTACCGCCCAACACTCTTCGACCCCATACCCCCAGTAAACGAGTAATTCCCCAGCCTGTTGGGAATCCCCAACGCTGCTCCCGCTCCCAGCCCATCTCCACCACCAAGCCCACCAGCAGCGGCATGAGAAGGCTCTGCAGCGTACCCACTAGCAGACCGGCCGTCGGGCCGGATAACCCCGAGGTTATCCAGCATGAAAGAAAGGTCCATGGAGCCGCCTTGGAAGGAGCCTCCGCCCCAGAACTTGCCGTCGAAGGAGAGGCGCAAGGAGAGGTCTTGAATGTCGCGGAGGGAGTCGGAGTGGAGTCCGGTGCTGTTGGCGGTTGCAGATGAGGCGGCAGCGACCTGATCGAAGAGTGCTGCTGCCCTCCACACTGGGTGGCGCAGACGCGACTGGGCCACGCGGGTTAAGAGAGAGGCGCAGTGCTGTTTGGGAGAGGGAATGTGGGGGAAACGGGCACACAAAAAGCGGGAGAGAGGGAAGAAAGAAGAAAGGGGAAAGAGAGACTGAAAGGAGGTCCTGGATGTCTGGGAGGGAGTGGGAGTGCAGGCCGGTGGATTGCGACTTTTGAGTCGACTCAAGAGTGGGAGTGCAGGCCGGTGGAGGGGTGCGTGGAGGAGGTGGCTGCAGCGACCTGATCGAAGAGTGCTGCTGCCCTCCACACTGGGTGGCGCAGTCGGGACTGGGCCACTCGGGTTAGGAGTGACGCGCAGTGCTGTGATGGGGGGAGGAGAAGAGGAGAGTGGGGCGGGACGGGGCGAGGGATGAATTGGAGAAGGTGAGGGAAGGGGAAGTGACTGAGCCACACAGGTCAGGAGAAAGGCTAAGTACTGTTGGGTTGGGGGAGAGGGGAAGCGGGGAAGGGGAACTCATTCCAGCAGCAGCAGCACACTATCTCCTAAGTCAAAGCAGCAGCACTCAGTCAAAGCAAGTGACCGAGTAGGAGTCACCCGAGCGATTAGGAGTCACCCGAACGAGTAGGAGTCACCCGAACGAGTAGGAGTCACCCGAACGAGTAGGAGTCACCCGAACGAGTAGGAGTCACCCGAACGCCGCACACCCACTAGCAGGCACGTCCACCCACTTGCGGTCACCTGCGCCCAGTTGCCTCCACCGGCACCCACCTGCGGCCAGCATTACTTGCGAATGTTGGCTAGAGCTGACCTCCTGTACTGGCTCTACAGTGCTCTGTCCGCCCGCCATCGGCTGTTCATGAGCCTGAATGATTGGTTGAGGCTCCTAGGAAACAGATCAGTGACTGAGTTGCGGCACCAAAGAAACATACAACCCACCTGCGGCCAGGAGTACTTGTGAATGTTGGCGAGAGCAGACTTGCGGCAGTCTGTCCACAGTGCTCTGTCCGCCACCAGCTGCAGCAACGCAGATGAAAGTGCGTTGGCGTCGTGAGGATCCACCACCAGCCCGTTGCTCAGCATCTGAACGCAGGGCAGGGAAAGGTGTGAGGAGAAGTGTGTGGGTGGGAAGAAGGGAAGGGGAGCAGCTTAAGAATGAGAGGGTGCCACGGGAGGGCATCTGTCCGCCACCAGCTGTAGCAGTGCTGATGCCAGGGCTTTGGCATCATGAGGATCCACCACCAGTTCGTTGCTCAGCATCTGAACCAAGGGATCGGAAACATGGGGTTGGTTGGGGGTGGGGGGGGAAGGAGGGAAGGGGTTTGAGGTAGGGTATTGTAGCAGCAGCGATGCCAGGGCGTTGGCGTCATGAGGATCTGCCACCAGCCCGTTGCTCAGCATCTGAGCACGGCCAGAGAAGAGAAGAGGAGAGAGGGAGGGAAGAACGGGCGGGGTAGGGAAGATAATTCCAGCGAGGATTAGGAGGATCCTTTAACAGGCCTTTGTGCTCTAAGCACACTTTGGAAAACTCAGAAATGAACCTTGAAACATCATGGGCAGGCAGACTGGCCATGTTATTTAAGCCAAATGGGCAAGAAAAATCCACAGAAGAACACCAGGTAACCAGGTGATGGCATCTTTGCACCAGGTAACCAGGTGATGGCATCTTTGCACCGGGTAACCAGAAACCACTCACCTTTTGGATGTCAACGGGACCACCGTTCTTAGTGGCCACCATGGGCAGGCCGTGTGCTGCTGCCTGCAGTGACTTTTGAGTCGACTCAAAAGTCTTTTGATATAAGTGCCACAAGCGATTGTTCTCTCACGGGTTTCATCAAGAAGCACCCACTCACCTTCTGGATGTCAACGGGACCACCGTTCTTAGTGGCCACCATGGGCAGGCCGTGTGCTGCTGCCTGTGATGTGAGAGAGGGAGGGTAGGACGAACGGGAGAAGGGCATGAGATGAGAAGAAGGGGATGAAAGGCAGCAGTAGGAATGGAGGGAGGAGGGCGAGTTGAAGGCGGTAAGGGAATGGGAGGATGGAAGGGAGAAGGTGCGAGTTGGTTTTTGAGAGTTCTCAAAAACCCTCACACACCATGCTGGTTGTTGAGAATTCTCAAAAACCAACATGAGATGAGAAGAAGGGGATGAAAGGCAGCGGTTGGAATGGAGGGAGGAGGGCGAGTTGAAGGCGGTAAGGGAATGGGAGGATGGAAGGGAGAAGGTGCGAGTGAACGGTCACCCAGCACGAAAGGAACAGAAGGAAAGAGGCCAAAGGGATCAGATTGGGATGATCATACCAAAAATTCAGGATTCAAGTTCCAGCATCAGCATATGAGGCCGTACCTCAATGAGAGTGAGGCCAAAGGGCTCCACGAGTGCTGGGTTCACAAACACGCCCTGGAGAGGAGAGACACACACAGAGAGGAGAGGAGAGCACAGGGGAAGACGGCAATGGTGACAGCTGGGAGAGATAATCTCGAATTCCTCTGGCGCTAGAGGCTGACCATTGCCGAATTCCTCGGCAATGGTTCACAAACACACACCCTGCAGAGGAGAGGTGGAGAAGGGGGACAAGAAGGGAACACCACAAGAAGGAGGATCGCAACGCTCAGGTGGTTGGTTGACAGATCCAACACTCCCAGAATTACACGTCTGAGCGTTGGATCTGTCTCCTGCGGGATGTTGGGACGCGCACACCGCCTTAATGCTTGGGGCTAGACCAACATGGGCCATGGACAGGTAAGGATAGAGACACAGCATGTTTGTATACAACTTTTGAGACGTCTCAAAAGTCATGTTGGTCTACCTGTCCATGGGCCATGGGCATGTTTGTATACAGACGCTTGTGGTGCTTGGGGTACGCCACCTTGCCGTACATACAGGTCGTACTTGTCTATCAGCTTCAGCACATCTGCCAGTACCTCTGCATTGCCGGCACACCATAACATACCGCACCACACCACACCGCACCACACCCCACCGCACCACACCCCACCTACCACCCGCCTAGATCCCTGTTCTCCTCACTTACCTTAGATTTAGGGTCGAGCGCATAGATGTCCGGGACCTCAGCCTGCTTGTGGTGCTTGGGACAGGCCACCTGCCCATACAGGTCGTACTTGTCTATCAGCTTCAGCACAGCTTGTGAACATTGTTCATCATACCGTACCACACCACACCGCACCGCACCACGCTGCACAGCACCACACCATACCGCACCTACAAACTGCTTGGGTCCCTGTTCTCCTCACTTACCTTGGACTTGGCAGCGAGGGCGTAGATGTCCGGGACCTCAGCCTGCTTGTGGTGCTTGGGATAGGCCACCTGCCCGTACAGGTCGTACTTGTCTATCAGCTTCAGCACTGTCGTCAGCACCTCTGCGTTTCCAGCACTCATGGCGTCAATGTCGTCGCGATTTCCCATCACGAGGCACTGTGGCAGGGAGAAGGACGAAGGATGTGTCAGGTGGGTTGGGAAGGGAAGGGAAGGCCGTGAAGGGGGGAGGGAGGGAGGAGGTGATTAGGTCAAGACTTTTTCTATCAGCTTCAGCACTGTCGTCAGCACCTCTACGTTGCCTGCACTCATGGCGTCAATGTCGTCGCGATTGCCCATCACCAGACACTGGGGAGAGTGGGGGGGAGAGGGGGATTGGGGGAGAGAAAGGGGGAGATGATGGTAGACATAGATGAGATTCAGGTGGTAGTGGTGAGAGGTAGCAGTAAATCAGCAGCACTGCTGTCAGCGCCGCTCACAGCACCGCTGTCAGCACCTCTGTGAATGGGTTAGGGAAGACGATGGGCTTGTGCGGGTAAGGGCAGAGCCAACGGATAAACATGTCTTGTATATCTTACGAAGTGATTGCTCACACTCACCAGGTTGGCGAGGTCCCTCAGCGCCTGGCACTCCCCAACCCAAAGGCACTGAGGCTCTTTGGCACGAGCGTGGTGAGATTCTTCTTGGAACTTCAATTCAACTCTTCATCACTCAAGTCTCTCACAGCCAGCCCACACGGCTCACCAGGTTAGCGAGGTCTCTTAAAGCCTGGCATTCCCCAAAGGCGCGCACGAGCGTGGTGAGGTTCTTCTTGGGGTCGGGGCGAGCGAGGGCCAGGATGATAGGCTTGTGGGGATTGGACCAGAACTTGCGCACCTGGGGAGGGGGAGAGGGGGAGGGAGAGGGGGGAGATACTGGTGGGACAAAGAAAGGGGAGCAGGTGGGCAGGCGAGGGGTGGGAATCGGGATGATGGGCTTGTGCTGGTGGACCAGAACTTGCGCACCTGTGAGGAAGAGAAGGGGGAGACAGGGAGAGGGGGGGATGGGGGGACAGCATGGAAGACGATAACAAGGGAATGTGCTACCAACAAGGCTTTTTCTCCATACCTCCTTTGACTCACCTTCAAAAGTCATGACGTTGCGGTGAAAGAAGTGTGCTACAAACAAATTGCTCCATACCTCCGCCCAGATGGGAGGCTCAGGCCCTGGCGAATCAGAGCCATCGATGTCTGGGACGACCACGTTGGAAAAATCCATTCCTGGGGGGATGACCTGATGGGTAAAGGGGGTGCGGAGGAACAGGAATGGGACGGAGCGAATGGGGGGTGATCGAAGTAAGGGGTGAAGCAAGGTTCGAATAGCTGGGAGCTATGACAGAGATGACGGCATTTAAAAGGGATGAAAGGAAATAGTTTGGTACTCGGGCTAGGGGTTTTGAACCCTACACCCTCTCCCACAACCCCCACTGCCCAACAGTTCCTCGTGCAACAGTGACACAAGCGGAGAGGAGGAGGGGAGGGGTATATGGATATCGAGGACTACTACGCATGGAGTAAAGGGATGGGTCCTATTCGTATTTCCTCATTTCGCGCTACTGCTACGTCTCGCAATGAGGAAGCATGAAAAGGACCCATTCCCTGTACTCCACACGTTGTAGGCCTCCACATCCATACTCCCCCCCCTCCTCCTCTCCATCCGTGTCACTTTTGCACGAGGAACTGTTAGGGCAGTGGGGTGGTGGGAGAGGGTGTAAGGTTCAGAATACTTAGCCCGGGAAACCAGACGATTAGCGTCTGATCTACCATCACTTCCCCTCTCCTGGCCTACTAGCCACCTCCTCCTCCTCCCCCTCCTTCTCCTACCCCTCCTGACCAAAACCCTAAACCTTGTGTCCCCATACTCACCGCCATGCGTGGCATGAAGCGGCCGTGACAGCTGACCCCTCGGAGCTGCCTGGCGCGCAGCACCCTCTCCAGGCGCACGTCAAAGCCATCGTACAGCCCCCACTGCTCCTCCACCTCCTGCCGCGTGCTCGTCACCACCAGCTCTGCGGCGTCAAGTGAGAACTCCTCTGCTTCGATGCGCCGGTCAATGGCGTATTGAGTGTTAATCTCTGCGCGGGTCATGCGCCCCTGCTTCAACAGCTGCTCCAGCTTGTTGCGGCCCAGGGAGTGGCCTGTTAGCACCATCGGCACGTTCAGCGCACCTGGACAGTCAAACAGACACAGAAGGGAGGTTTGGGAGTTAAGGTGAGAAAATAATAATAATAATAACAATAATAATAATAATAAATTAAACTAAAAAAACAAAACAAAACAACAGCAACAACAACAACACAGAGACGTCTCCTCCTAACGCAGGTGATGTTCTGCTCCTCGCCTGCTGGTGAGAAAGCTGAAAGATCAGTGCATCCACCTTAAACCCACAAGCGAACACCTACCTGAGAGCAGAGCCGCTATGTCCCCAGCGTCGGCATAATGTCCATAAATCAAGTACGGCCACACGCGCTGCCCATCCCCGATCTGGTCCACCAGCTCCCTGGACATGTGCATGATGTGCGTGAGGGCGCCGTCCACAAACTCGTCCACGTACGGCCACAGTGCCTCCTTGCGCAGGTACTGGTCTGGAGAGGTCTCAAAAGAGGCACTGGTCCGCTCCACGCCTGCTGCTGAGAGGGAACTGACCTGAGAGCAGGGCTGCAATGTCCCCGGCATCGGCATAGTGCCCGTGAATCATGTAGGGCCACACGCGCTGCCCGTCGCCGATCTGATCTGCGAGTTCGCGTGACATGTGCATGATGTGCGTGAGGGCGCCGTCCACAAACTCGTCCACGTAGGGCCAGAGGGCCTCCTTGCGCAGGTACTGGTCGCGCGGGCCGCACGGCAGGCGGATGATGTAGGCGCCCGCGCTCTCCCCCGCTATCAGCCCGTCCGGGTCGTAGCGGAGAGAGCTCAGCATTTCGGATGGCTCTCCATAGGACCAATCGACCTAAAATTGCGGGGATAAAGGGGAAGCAAGAGAGGGGAGAAGGGGAGAGGGGCGTGCGTACGCGGTTGAGCGCGGTTGGCAGGGGTTCAATCAGTGGGCTGCACGGCAGGTGGAGAATGTATGCCCCCGAACTCTCCCCCGCCATCAGCCCTTCCGGCCGAGCAGAGCGAACTCAGCATCCTTGATGGTTCTCCCTTTCTCCTAATAAACAGCTCCAAACCCAACCCACCACTCATCACCACTCATCACCGCTCACAGCCACTTACCCTAGGGGCAACGATCTGGCGTGTGAGCAGATCAACACGGTACACCTGCAGCATGGACGCGAGAGCGCATGCCAGTTCCTGATGAGCAGCTCCAAACCCACGCCTACCACTTACCACCACTTCCCATCACCACTCACCCCAGGGGCAACGATCTGGCGTGTGAGCAGATCCACACGGTACACCTGAGGCATGGACGCGAGAGCCCTCGCAATCTCCACCACGTATTTCACCTGAACAAGATGGGGGAGGGGAAGGGGGTACAACATTGCATGTTGGGGGGGAGGGAGGGACTTCCGCATGACAATGAGCAGGCCATGTGCACCACAAACAACCAGCCGCTTATTACGGGAGGGAAGAACGGCAGCACAGCACAAGAGCACACGCAGAATCGGAGAGGGCATAACACGAGATACACAGCAGCAGCACTCAAGGGCAGGCAGAACACACTAGAGGGCAGGCAACGGGCATACCTGGCCTCCCGTGTCGGAGTTTCGGCCCAGCTCCATGTTCTCTCCACGCACCAACCCATGGATGCTGTGTGCATGGGGCACGAGGGGAACCAACACACGCACATGCACACACGCACACACGCACACGCACACGTACACGAGAGACACAACAGGCATACCTGGCCTCCCGTGTCGGAGTCTCGGCCCAGCTCCATGTTCTCTCCACGCACCAACTCATGGATGCTGTGTGCATGGGGCACGAGGGGAACCAACACACGCACATGCACACACGCACACACGCACACGCACACGTACACGAGAGACACAACAGGCATACCTGGCCTCCCGTGTCGGAGTCTCGGCCCAGCTCCATGTTCTCTCCACGCACCAACCCATGGATGCTGTATGTATGGGGCACGAGGGGAACCAACTCATCCACGCACACACGCACACGCACATGCACACGCACAATGCGTTATTCCACTTTTGTGTTTTGAGTCAACTCAAAACGCACAATGCGTTACTCCACTTGTGAGGCGCCTCGAAAGTCTTCATGCTCCCTCCTCGCACCAACCCATGGATGCTGTGTGGTGCTGCAGGGAAATGACAAAAAGCACATGCACATGCACATGCACAATGCGTTGATCGCATGATGAGTACATGCAAGATAACTTAGTTAACTTGCAAACGCGAAGCACTTGTAACACTGGTCATGACACGACAATCCCCAGGCTCACCTGATCACGACACTCCCAAGGCCCAGCTGATCACGACAATCCTAAGGCTCACCCGATCATGACAATCCCAAGGCTCACCCGATCATGACAATCCCAAGGCTCACCTGATCATGACAATGTAGAGCCTCTTCTCCGTGCCATGCTCAAGTGGATCCCTCCCAGCCGCCTCACCAGTCGACCCTGCACCAGCAGGTACCTCCCTCTGCTTCTCCCCCTGCTGCTGGTTCTCCCTCCTCCCCCGCGACTCCTTTTCCGCTGCAGCCTTCGCTGCCGCCGCCTGGGCCGCTGCCACGTTGGCACTGGAGTCCAGCAGGTCATCCGCGGCCTTGTCCACGACAGCAGCCACGTCAGCACCGGGCAGAGCGTCCGGGAGGGCGTCCTCGTCGTCAGGGCCGTCCTCCTCCTCTATATCCAGCTCAGCCTCCTCCTTGTCGTGCTGCTGCTGCTCCTTGATCCGCGACGCCTCTTGCTCCAACTACACGGGAAATGGGAACGACAGGGACGCCAGAAGTAAATTTCGGCCGTGTTCCCAGGAGGCAGGGAGAGAGGGTGCTGCAGAAGGTATGGGAAGGGGAGGTGGTGGGACCCTACTAGTGCCAAATAACAGAAATATGAAAATACTTTTCCGTTCTATATTCCCCAACAAAAACATCTACACAGAAGAGTCAGTACGCTGCGCATACCTGCTTCTTTTTCCGGGACAGGTACCAGATTCGCCACGTGAAATTCTCCATTCGAGACCCTTTCTCGTCGCTCATCGCTGTGGCCTGCGCGGAACACGACAAAGGATCAAAACAGGAGCACGCGTTATAATATTTTCATGGCGTCTCAAAAGCCATTCCGGACCCTTCATCGTCGCTCATCCCTGTGGCCTGCGAGGCTCAAACTGTGCCAATCTGGCAGATAACGGATCGAAGCAAGCCACCACACGCATCAGGACATTGTGGCTGCTACAACAACTACCAACACAAGCGTGTGCGACACAATCGCGTGCGCGGCGACACAATCGTGTGCGAGACGCCTTCAAGTGCGACGCCTGCAATAAGTTCACACAGACATCGTGACAAATTCGTGCGCGACGCTTGCGTCGTATCCATCGCTCATGTGCGATACCTTCATCCATGTGCGATGCAGCTCCTCCTCGCTCGAATGCTTTATCTCATTCACAAAGTATCGGACGGCTGTACCGCTCTGACCCTTGATCTCCGATAGATCCAGCCGTTCCTTCTTGTCGGTATCCATCGGCGCCCCTCCGCGCTCTAGGATCGCGTCCAGGTAACCCGATAGCCACTCATTCTCAGCCATCGCGCCGCCACTGTTTTTCGTTCAATGCTCAAGATTTCGCCAACAGGTACTGGATAATTCACGGAAAAAAAGACGTCGATTAAAGGCGGTGGTGGAATCGTTCACGATCCTGTAAAACTCGGGGGAAAGCGTCAGCCAGAATAAGGTGCGTTTCAAGAAATTTCAGGACCCAACGGAAGGCGTAAGCCGGAATTTCACTCGAGGGTTGAGCGAGCGTCGCTCTGAGTCTAGAACGGGGCGAGCGTTCCAAGGAGGAATCTACGCCGTGTATTCGAAGGCACCAGTCGTCAGCGATTTGCTGGATATCGGAAGCGAGAATCGACGGTTGGCTGCAGGAACGGTTATGAGCTGAAATTATGGGGCAATGGGGAATGGCTGAACGGATATTCTTGTTGCGCACACAGCACAATTTCGGTGCATGGAGCACAAACGGAAGATAATCCCGTGGAGCACAAGGCGGGAGAGCTATGCATTGGGCAATGCGAGGGGAAAAAGAGGTGTTGGGGAACATGGCGGAACGCGGCAGGGGTGGGGGAGAGTGAGAATGGCGCAAGTACAAACCTTACTGTATACTGAAGTCAACCACAGAAACGTGGGGAAACGTACTATACCTCTCTTTTTTCTGTTCTCATTAAGTTACCGAGACCGACCGAGCCCGAGGTGCTGGATGGTTCTCCTGTCTCCTACGGCCTGCGCCGATTGGTTGGGCGGAAGGCTGAAGACATACCTTCCGCCCAGCCAATAGACAGGCTGGTCAAGTCGCAACTCTATTCCGCACGCGTCGCACGAGAGTGGAAAGGCGATCAAAACGACGACCTGCTGCACCTGCTTAGCAGTCGCCCATAATCGAACCGTCTGTGGGCTACATGCCTGCCATCTGGCTGAATCTAACTCGTCCGAAAGTTCTCCACCACTCTGGGATCTCCACACAGCCCACAGTGAGCACGGCTTCGAATGTGAAAACTCGTTGTAATCAGCGTGGTTGAAACCTTTCGACAATTGAAACAGCATAAACATAGAATCAACATGCCTATGTGCTGATGTTTGAGGGAAAATGTGTCATTCGTAACCAACATGGGACTCCAAAACTTTTTTGACGGGTACTTGAAAATAACGGGTACGGTCACTGCAGAGGGTGTTTTCACGCGACTGATAAAACTTTTCACGGAATCAGTCACTATTAACTGGTTAGAAATCACGCGAATGGTCACAGATTTAAACTCCCGCCAAAAAATATTACCCATATGCAACCTGTATTCATTTTAGGACGAATCAACCCTAAACACATAACTCGCCATGTGTTTAGGGCTGATCCGCTCCCAAATCGCATCCGATTCCGATTGGGTTTTAGTTTTGTTTGACGTGAGCAGATTGGTTGGGCGTGAGCGGGAATTTTGTAGTGTTTCAATATTTTTTTGGCGGTAGTTACATGTGCGACCATTCACGTGGTTTTCTTCTGGATGTTAGTGATTGAATCCGTGACCCTACTTACCAGACTCGTTAGGAAACCCGATACGGTGACCGTACGCGTCATTTTTTTATCATTCATGTTATCGAGTCCTATGCTGGTTACTTGTGGCATATTTTTCCGATGTCTGACTTCTACCCAAGGTGTAGAAAATCGATTTCAAAGAATGTTTGAAGTCAGAGATTGTATTCCATCCAGGGAAGCAATTATTAGTTGATTGCCTTCTTTACATATATTCTCACATTCTCTACATTGATATAACAACCCTTCGGGATTACCATGTTGGGAAAAACTAAGATCCAACTTGAATTATTACTGTCAAAAGTTGTAGCCTGTAGTGAGGTTTGTCTTAGGGGGTACAGAAGTTAGGGTTTGTTATATGTACCCCAACCAACATCAATGCATCATTCATTCCTCATTCTGACATTGTATCAGATAGGTTAGGATCCTGTGGGATCCCGTTCCTCCGTTCTCCGTTCGTACCTCCCGAGCCTGATCCTACCTCTCGTTCGTACCGGTTCCGTTGTTACCGCGCCTAGTGCCGAGCCTAGCGCCCTTTCCCCCCGTCGCCTAGCGCCCTTTCCCCCCGTCGCGTCGCACCCTTTCCCCCCGTCGCGTCGCGCCCTTTCCCCCCGTCGCGTCACGCCCTTTCCCCCCGTCGCGTCGCGCCCTTCCCCACCGTAGCGTCGCGCCCTTTCCACCCGTAGCGTCGCGCCCTTTCCCACCGTCGTGTCGTGCCCGTTCCCCCCGTCACGTCGCGCCCTTTCCCCCCGTCGCGTCGCGCCCGTTCCCCCCGTCGCGTCGTGCCCGCCCTTTCCCCCCGTCCCGTCGCCCTCCCCCGTCATGTCGCCCTACCCCGTCACCTCGCCCTGCCCCGTCGCGTCGCCCTGCCCCGTCCCGCCGCCCTGCCCCGTCGCGTCGCGCCCGCCCTTTCCCCCGTCCCGTCGCCCTGCCCCGCGCCCGTCGCCGCGCCCTAGCTCGTCACCCTGCCACGCGTCCGTCGCCGAGCCCTGGCCCGTCGCCCTGCCCTGCGCCCGTCGCCCTACCCTACGCCCTGGCCCGTCGCCCTAGCCCGCTCTTCCGCTGCGACTGAATCCCCCCCCCACCTGAACCCTAGTTTGCCTCTTACCTCCTGCTGTAACTCGCCTGCTCGTTCGCGTTAGTTCTCGCTATGGCGCCTCCGCGAGTTCTTCGTTTCGACGCTGGCGGTAGACCTCTTGACTTTTCCGTCTGGCTTCTTCGCGCTCGCCGTCTGTTAGAGAGTCAGGTCCAGGGGGGCGAGACCCTCTGGTCGCACGCTACTGGTGACCTCCCCGAGCCCCCCGAGCCTACCGCTTTAGGCTCTGCCCCTGACGACGCTGCTACGGCTCGCTTTGCCCGTCAGCGCGCTGACCGGACGGCTTGGACGTCGCGTAACGCTGCGGCCTGCATCGCACTCAGCAGCCTCCTCCCTGAGTCACAGGAGGTCCACTTCACTCAGGTTCGCACCGCTGCTGCGTACCTCACTGCGATTAAGGCTCGCTACTCTACTCCCGCTACTGTCTCTCTTGGCCGTCTTTTCCTCCCGTTCCTGTTTCCTGATCTCGCCTCGTTTGAGCGCTCTGCTGACTTGATCGCTCACCTCCGCTCGCTCGACGCTAGTTACCGCGCTGCTTGCACTGAGGCACAGCTTGCACTGCTTCCTCCCCCCATGGCGATTACTATCTATTTCATCGCCACTAGCCTCCCTGACCGCCTTGCCTCCGTTCGCGACATGCTTCTGCTGAAGCACCCTAGTGAGCTCACCGTCGAGGTCCTTGAGTCTGCGCTCAAGGACGTCGAGAGCAACCTTCGCTCGGTAGCTGCCGCCTCAGGTGCTGTGCCCCCACCACTCTTCCACGGGTGCACAGTCCCGCAGTTACCCACCTTCACTACCTCTCTCGCCACTGCCGCTACTGACGCGACTGCAGCTGCTGTTACGACTGCGTCGCGGTCCCGCGGCAGGGGGGGCAAGAAAGGTGGTTCTGGTGGAGGTGGAGGCGGAGGTAGAAGAGGTAGTGGGGGTGCTGTTGCGACTGGCGGTGGTGGGAGTGCGGCGTCTGGAGAGACCTCTCGTGCAGCGGCTGGTGACTCCACTGCGCCTGCTGGTGGTGGCGACACCCGAGCTCGTCAGTCGCCTCCTGTACTGCCGGCCTCGCTAGGTGGAGCAGCGGCGTGGTACCAGGCTCAACGTCAGCAGCAGCTTCAGAAGCAGCAGCAGCCCCTCTCCTCCTAGCAGCCTCAGCAGCAGCAGTGGCAGCAGCTGGCTCCGGGGTCGGGGCTGCGTCAGCCCCAGCGCGGTGCTGCTTACCCTCCCTGCACCTATCAGGTTCTGACAGGTCCTCGTCGGGGCCACCCTTGTGGCCGCTTTCACCCCCCTGGTCAGTGCTTTGCTCAGCTCAGTTACACGGTCCGGTTGGCCTACGGGGTTGGCGGTCCTGCCCTTGACTGGCTTCCTCTTGTTCAGCGCTACGGCTCCTCTCTATGAGGCATGTCTGCTGAGCAGTTAGTTGATCTGATTGGTGCTCCTCATGCTATGTATGATGTTGTTGACTCTAGTGTTTCTGACTTTGTTTACTCTGGTGTGCTAGTCTTGCTCAGTTGCCCGTTGCTAGTGTAGGTTCTTCTGCAGACTCTAGACCAGCGGCTACCTCGAAGGACGCCTCGCTGTCGTTCACGCTGGACTCTGGAGCCTCACACTGCTTCTTCCGTGACAGCATGACACTTACACCACTTCCTGCGCCTGTTTCTGTGGCGTTGGCTGATCCCACCTCGGGACCAGTCATTGCGTGTCACACTACCACCTTGCCGTGTCCTGCTGCTCCCTCCGGGTCTCTCACTGGGTTTCACGTCCCCTCGTTCTCCCGGAACTTGGTGGGCGTGCGACCCCTTGTGAGTCAGCACGTGGGTGTGTGGTTTAGCGGAGAGACTTCGGTGTGTGTTGACGGAGACTCTTACCAGACGCTGGCCACCTTTACTGCTGAGCCGGGCTCCGGTCTCTACACTCTTCACACGGGCCCGCTGGCGCAGCAGCAGGCGCAGCAGCAGCCGCAGCAGCATCAGCAGCAGCAGCAGCAGCAGACGCCGCAGCAGCCACAGCGGTAGCCGCAGCAGCAGCCGCTCCTACTGCCCCCGGCCCCTGTACCGCCCTCCGCTCGAGTCTCACCAGGTTGCTCCTTCCCCCCAGGTACCTATGTCTGGTCAGGTTCCTGCGTCTGGTCCAGTCGCTGCGTCTTGCTCCTGCCGGTCCCTTGCCCACCCCACCGTCCTGTGGCACCATCGGATGGGGCACCCGTCCCTTCCTCGTCTGCGCGCTATGTCTCGTCAGCGTCTTGTCCTAGGCCTCCCGCGTGTCTTGCCGTCGCTGCCGCCTTCGCTTGTGCCGCCGTGTGGTCCCTGCGTCGAGGGTCGGCTGTGCGCCACCCCTCACTCCTCCTCCCTTCGTCCGGCCACCGAGCCTTTTGAGACGCTCCACTTGGACGTCTGGGGCCCTGAGCGTGAGAGCTTCTTTTTG